GTAGTCAATTGCTATGGACAATACCAGTGCTTAATCGAAAATCTCACCACAGAATGTAATATTGAAAAATCTCTGGCCTTGTTATAAATTCGCATCTGCCCTGTGTTCAACTATCACCCGTGGCAGTGTGGCATTCTGGTTACGCTTCATTACTATAATTCGGGTTCAAGTGAGTTGAGAGTGATAATGAAATTAGTTCAGGCAATGTCGAAACCGCAATCCACTCTGGATAAGAATACCATTTAGGAATCGAGGCTATGTAAATTCATTGAAAGCCGAAGGTCTACTCACATCATTGTAGGAAGATTCAACTACCAGTTCTTCATCACCCTAAACGCAACAGGGGGAATACACATATAAATGATTTACTGATAGTCTCGAAAACCTACTTATAAACGAACAGTATGAATACAAATAAAATGGTCCCTATGTCCCTAATCTTTCGCATCAAGGAAAAATATGTAAAAGTATAAACATAAATATAAATTAGCACATACTTTTAATATTTTTTAGTAAAAATACTTCTATTTTATGTGAAAGTGTATGATGAAAAGATTTGTAGGTCGATCTCATTATAAGAAGACGGCTGATTCCTGTTGCACTGCAGACGTTTAGCTTTAGTATGACGTCCAGGTTGACGCAGTCCACGTTTCGAGCGAAAACGTACTAATCTTTTATCTGTCACACGATGAACATCATTAAATCTGGAACTCATCTTTACTAAAGTCTCATGTTAGCACTAAGTCAATAAAACTGACGGGCTTTTTCTTATCACACACACACAACACACACATAATTATATATCCTACACGTCACACTATATTGTATATTTTTAGTTCCGTCTAAACAACTATGTAATCCTTGCTTTTATTAATTATATAAGCTATTCCTCTTTTGAGTCTTTAGGTAACAGATTGGACCGCTGCTGAATCCGCTATTAAGGCAGACCTAACTGTAGGTCCCGTTTCCTGGGCAACTCCTGGTACCTCAGCTGGTTTTTCTGTCCTGTATAGTTTTATCAAGCATCGTCTCAAAGATTACGGCTCCCTGCGAAACGACCCTAACAAGTCTGTTCTCAGCAATCTCTCCCCTTGGTTACATTTCGGTGAGGTACTATATATTCTCAGTTCGATCATTTAGGTAGTCTTATATATAATTTTTTAAATATATTTTATGTAAAATATCAATTATTCTGGGCTTCAAGGAAATTTACATGGCAAACCTGAGAAGATATCAATTTCTGATAGAACTTATATATTGTTAAATTAGGTCTACTTGGCAGGCCTTGCCTTATGTCAGAGGCAAACCTTAGTCAGCTTTCTGTTTATGATATACTAAATATGTTTGTAGATGGATTACTATGCTTTTCTCTGACTATTCTCCAAGGATTGGGGGTAATTTCTTTTATGCATGGTTATAATAGAAGATGATAACTATAAAAATGTTGTGGAGTAGTTAATTAATAAATGAATGAACTAAGCGAAGTAATGTCATTTGTTTTAGGTATGATAATCCATACTTAACAATCAGAAAAATCGAGAATGGATAAGAAAATACGGTGTGCTTTTGCCGATTTAATTACACGATTAGTTACCCATGGAGTCAACTTCAAAGCAAACGTGGATGCAAATGGAAAGCGGAGGAATGAATATGAGAAACGGTAAAGTCATAGGGAACTGTTGCACAAACGATCTTTATAATGTGGTAAATGTTTTATATTATATCAAAGGATGAAGATAGATTATGTCAAACCTGGGGATCAGAACAGGCATAATTAAGCAATGGCTTTAATTAATATTACCCACGATCACAGCTGAAAGTTTATTTATGAGCGTTCAGATCTCT